GGGGTGGGGTTGGGGTACAGAGCAGGTGTGCATGCGCATGTGTGTGTGAGGACGCCGTTTGGATGTGCAGGTGTGTTTGTTTATTGATGCGTTTGTCTATCGGAGCGGCTGCGTGTGTGTGAGTCTGGTTTTAGGGGGCATCTGAGTTTCTGCCTGTTCATTTTCACCCGCGTGCAATCACGCATCAGTTGGCCCGACCCGCGCTGTGATGAATTGCTCACACTGCTTAGTAACAACTGACCCCCCTCGCAAGGGGTGTGCAGAAACACATGCATCGCCAGTTTCTGAGCGCTCGGTCGTGGCCTGTCCACATCATATTGCACTCCTCTCAGTGCACTTCGATTGCCACTCTTTGCATCATGGACGGCTCGTGGTGCTTCGATTCGCCCGCCTCCCAGCACCGCCACCAGGATGCGCCCCAAGCCCCCAACCCTACAACCACCAACCACCCTCCATGAATCACCCATCCCTCCCCCCTGCAAACGAAAGTCCGCCGCTCTTGGGCTGGCCATCGCCGGCGCCCTGGGCCTGGGCTACGCCAACATCTTTGTGACCGCGCCCTCCCCTGAGAACCTGCGCACCCTGTTCGAGTTCGTGTTCAAGGGGCTGGACGCCCTCGGGTACCAGGTGGGCAGCCGGGGGGGGGCTTGGCGGACAGTATTGCAGCGCCCGCGACAACGGCCCAGAGGGCCGTTGTTGCAGGACGGCTGGGGCAGCGGACAAGCATGCTGTTAGTGTTGCTCACGCGCTTGCGTGGTTACATGCCGGCGCCAGCAGGCCGCTGCCGGGGCCTCTGCGAGCCCCCCATGCGGAGCCTTGACACCCAAATGCATCGAATGTTTGTGATGTTCATTCATGGGCTTGCTTTGTTGTCAGGTTGTGTGCTTATTGCTGCGCACCCTCATGCACGTGCGGGATACGTGCGTGTACCTCCGAAGGCCGGCCCCCACCATGCGCTGTGATGAATTGCTCACACTGCTTAATACGTTCTGACCCCCCTCGCAAGGGGTGTGCGGATACAATGCATTGCCAGTTTCTGAGCGCTTGGTCGGGGCCGGCCCAGCTTATTCAGGGCTTCACACTGTCTGACCCACACCTTTTGCCTGTCAACACGAGTCTGTTTCACACTCCTGCTTGCCAAGCTGGTTCCCATGCACCATACTGGATGACACAGGGCCCAAGATTGGCTGCCAACGCTCCAATCTCCCCACAACTACGCGTGCCATACATACGCTTGCAACATCCCTCACGCCCCCTGGGCCCCCTCCCCGGTGACCCCCCCCCTGCGCCCTGCATCCCGCGCCCCGACCGCCCGTCTTCCAGGAGCACATTGACTACGACCTGGTGGAGTCCACCAACCCGGCCTTTGGCCGCGCGGTGGTGCGCGTCAACGTATACAGGAACCACAGACAGGTGCGGCCGCACACGCGCAGGGCCACGGCCGCGCTTTTGCACCTCAGCGCCGGCCTGAGCGCCGCAACGAGACGCCCGTCCGCGGCCTGCTGCTGCTTTGATACTGCAGTGGGGGCGGTCGTCTCATTGCTTGCCCACCGCCTTGATGCCCCACCCCTGCGTCGGCCCTCGCGGCCGCCGCCAGCCCGCCCTGCCTCACTCCCGCGCCAGCCTCACATGCCGCCGCCGTCGCGAACATTCCGACATCAAGCCCAGCCAGCACCCACCGCTCTCCGCACCCCCCCTCCCCACCCACCCCTCCTTCTCCCGCCACCAGAC